AAATGTAAAAATAATCCAACATTAACTCACATCTGTTATGATTGGGCTCAAAGTGTTGCTGCACCATATTCACCTCAACAAGTTGGCTCAATTTATTTTAAAATTCCTTTTAAAATAAATATATTTGGTATATGTACTCAAAGAGATAATAGAGATAATTTTCAGCTAAATTATACAATAGGGGAAGATGAATTACCAGAAGGAATATCAAAAGGGGCAAAAACAACTTTGAATATGGTTTTTGATTTTCTTCAAAAGATTCATGATGGTGGTGAAAAAGATCTATATGTGACATGTGATAATTCTTCAGGATAAAATAAAAATAACTTATCACTCTGGTTTTGGTCATGGTTAATAATGTTGGGTTGGTATGAAAATATCTATATAAATTTTATGATCCCTGGACATACTAAATTTATTTGTGATGGATTTTTTGGATCAATCAAAAAAGTATATAGAAATAGATGTATTAATACTGTTGATCATGTTGAAGAGGCTATAAATAATTCAACAATAGAAAATAATAATAAGTCCCTTAGAAAAAATGCCTACAAAAAAATTGATGCTATAGTATACATAACTGATCATTCCAAATCACCAGTAAAGAATTATTTTTTAGTAGAAGCCATTGGAATTGGTAGACCTACGTATCAGAGTGATGAAGTACCATACCAACTGGTAGGTCTTTAAATATAGATTGTAGATTTCGTATACACCATTATTGGCTAGCATGGTCTTATCTACAACTTGAAAAATTACGAAATTTTCAAAATACACAAAGATTAGTAAGGCAAAATCAAATGGATTCATCTTTTCGACCCCCAACAGCAGTTGAAATAATTGAACGTAGTACTTACACAAACAGTTGGAGATTTAATGAAGAAAAAACATCCCCCCTACCAACTTTCATATGCACAGGTGATATTTATTTTCACCAAATTGCGGTTTTTTCTGTTGGTGATTCTGTTCTATAAATAAACATTAGAAATTTTATTTGGAAAAGCAAAATCTAGCATAGTGAAAATTTTAAAATGTTACACTAATTTTTTATATTGTGCAACGTAGCTTTACAATACACGGCAAACATTCTGGCAATAAAAAGTAAGTGATAAACTGGATTTGAATTGGATTTGAACTTGATCTCCAATTTAGATAGGCAATGGGTTCTGTATCATTTCGTGCAACAACAAACTTCCACTATGCTACTATGGTTAGTGGAGAATTTATAGATTTACAATTATTATTGACATTCTTGGTCATATATAATAAACACAAGGATTGTAAGATTCACGTGGAACTCTAACTTCTCTTGATGAGATAAGCTTGCTACTATTATTATTATTATCTCCATTTGTAATAATTTTGGTTTAGGGAAATTCTACATTTTACAAACATAATAGCAATTTGAATTTGACAATATCTACCTTGCGAAAACTGAGAGGAGTTAGTGATCCCGAAAACAAAAGCTTCACTAAATGTTTTCTTAAAAAAAATCAAAACTAAACTCAAAAAGAGAGGAACCCTTTTTGAAAACAGAGCCATCAACTATTAATATGCGCAACCAATAAATTAACAAATGAATGAAGGAATGGATTAAGGACGAATTGACGAATGAGGGAATGCCAATTACTTGATAATTTATTCTTGTTTATTTTCATCTTGAGTTCCCCCAAAGAAGTAACATATCTGTACAATGATTTATAACAGGTTTATTTGATGGGAATTACAATTATTAGTATTTTTGAACCGTTAAAATTATAAATATATTCACTATAATCTTTGATTCAATTAATAATAAATAATAGTAGTAATTGCTTTAATTAGTTTCATTCTTTCTTTTAAAATTTTTGCTACATGATTAATTTCCAATAATATCATATTGTTATTATTATTATGTATAAGAAAAAAATGACAAAAAAAATCATATGCTAAAAAAAAATTATTATTTTGTTTGTACTTTTGTTTAGTTTTGAATTTATGTTTATGATTTAACATTTAGTCAAATCTTCTAATAAGCCATTTTTTATATCAAA